ATACTGTATGTATCATATTTGATTCACTGCTGCTGTGAATAGCCAAAGCTGATGATTTTCAGAGGCGTTTCTGAGCTTTTCTTTAAGAATCCACCAGATGGCTATAAAAATAAACCCTGCTAAATATGTGCAGTGTGGGTGACTATATGACAGAGGAGCTGACAAAAATACGCTCCATTGCCTCAGGCAACTTTCTTTGGGAGTCGGATCTGTAATGTACACAGAGAGAGAAAGGAACACAATGTGAACGAGGACAGAATGTGAGCGAGTTGAGATTTTATCCAGAATTATATGGTCACAAGGTGACAGATATTTATTTTTTCTTTATTTTCACTTGCATTTCATTTTCATTTACACTCTTCATGGCATTATAAATAGCTTGAACAAGAATAATAACGAAAGCATTATATTTAATGGTAATTCATGTGTATAGTGAAGTGGGTGGAGGTAATTCCATAAACACTGAAGTCTCTGTCTAAGACTAAATTCAAAGGTACTGTACATCCTCTCTTTTCATGCACACGCATGTTTATATTTGCTCAGTCTGCATGGGTTGGGAGTCTGCATTCAAATATAGTCTAACGTGTGAACATGACTCATTTATTACATAACTATCCACCCTTTTTCGGATCTCTCATCAGTAAATCTGTGTATCAGGAGTGTTGATTTGCAAGACAGCTCTCCAGCCCCAGTATCTATTGATTTAGTTTTTTCATTGATGTGAGGGGATGACAACAGATCGAATCACTAAACACCACACAGGCTCATTTCATATTATCTGACTGTATTATTAACCAGATGGCAATGGTACTTCAGCCATCTGTGCTTTTGTTCTGGCCCAAAATCCTAATTGGCCAAAAGGAGTTTGTAGGCCCTGAAATACCTGCCACCTGTTTTGAGCTTTATGCTGAGTGAATATAAACTGGTACCTGATTGAAATGGGTTTGATGTTTGGGTAATTTATTATATAGTAAGTTTGAGTACCCTAATGAGTTTGGGGTTTAATTAATTGATGTGCATCTGGTGAGTCTTTTAATAACTGATGAGTGTAATTATTTTTGTCTGTTGTTACTGTAGCTCTGTTCCAAAATCTAGTGAGATCTCTTGCTGTCTTTTGTCTATAAAGACAGCTGCCTTGTAAACCGTTTTATAAATGCTTTACATAGGCATCAATGTCACACTAAACTCCTGACAATTGATTCCAATAGAGTTTGATGCCTGGATGTTGCAAAGCTAAAGGCACGATAACCTAACAAGAGTAAAAATAAGCTCATAAAAATACTGTAAGATAATCTAGTTTTACAACAGTATATTTTAATGTTGATATCAATCAAACTCTTGCCTTGCCCACTATCTTGTATTATTTTATCTCAATGCATTCACTTGGTTTTGGAACAAAGCAATAGTGTACAGAACTGAGTATGTGCTTTTTATAGTCTTTTGTTAAGTGATGGGACATGATGGAAACCGTAAAAAACCCTCAGGTGTGTGTGTGTGTGTGTGTCAAGTGTATACTGTCTATCCCCAAGACTGGATATTATTATGATGTGTTTTGTCTGCATGGTTCATTACTGTTACAGCAGAGGAGGTGAGGTTATACAAGCTTTAATTAGTCACCAGGGAGAACATACTTGGTTCATTTGGGCTTTTAGCAGACAGCTTTTGTGTTTATTTTTTTCTTTTCATTTTATCATGATGACTAGTACAGAAAAGTGTTTATATGGTGAACCTGGGTGGTATGTCTATAAGGCATAAACTTATTGCAGCAAGTACTATTCTCTGATTTTAGGTTGAGAGAGACTTACTGCATGAATGCAAAGCAAACCTGACATAAATTAAGTTTGACTTATATGTGCAAAAGCAAGCTGCACATATACATACTAACTAACATTGGCTGATGGTGTCAGAACCATCTATCTATGTTTGCTGCATATTTATCCACATATTCAGAAGGTTTTAACTGAATGCATGTGCCTGAGTGAGCATGTTGCCAAGCGGAGAAAGCTGAGTCTGGAATCACCACACATTCCCAAAGCACCATTCTAATACTTGGATGCTCCAGTAGTTATAAAAGCAAAGCAAGCTAAATATAGACCACGGCTTGCATCCTCCCCCTAAGCTGATGGCGTACAACAAGACATCATGGTACTGAGCAAGGGACTACCATTTTATTGACCCATTATAATATTTGTAGACTGTGATTCAGACATCCTGCCCACAATCTGTTTGCTATCAGATGCATATTGCTTAGAAAACAAGGAAGTAATTTCTCAGCCTGGATTGGCTGGCTTTACTCAGCTTCCGGGAGCAAAGGGGCACAGTATTTTTAGTCTATCTGAAACAAAGTCATGTTTACAAGGTACTGGACTGATACAAGGAGAGCTTTTAAGGATGAAATAATCACTGGATGTGCCAAACGTTTGCCAGGTTAGTGACATCAAATAATTGAATAATGTTGGCACTTAGTAATTTAATATACATGAGCAGAACTGTATATTCTGCTTTTTTACCGAGTTATGTCTGTGAAATAGTTTTTTTTTTTTTTGAATGGGGCTGTACATATTTTCCCACATTTTTTCTAGGGTTTTCTGTTTTTGGATTGCTGTACCTTAATTTATTCCATTAATTATTTATTCATTTGAATTTTCTTAGTTTCATGGATGTCTGTTATGGTATATTTCAGAAATACTCGACCTTAAGTGACACTTGGTAATTTGCACTACATGTCAGTCAGACAGTGTCTAAAAGAACTCAACTGCAAATAACACCTGATTCTATTGGCATCACACTTCTGCAGGTCCTTTCACAGCCTTTAGTCTTGAGTGCAATGCCCCAGTGATTGGGTTCTTTGTCTCAGCAAATGGGTACTGTCAGCCCTTTGATTTCTCACTATCAGAAACTACAAGGCGGTGGTGTGAGAGTTAACAAGATCAGCCTTTCTTACGCTCCCCACATAAAATGACCCAATGCTGTTATCAATGGACCAATTCCTTACATAGTGCTTATTGATGTTTCCCAGTAACCGCAGTGACAAATGCCATGATAGCCATCCCAGCATACCCTATTGACCACAGCCTGACATGTGACACTATTAGCTTGCTTCCTGGGGGGATGGACAGGGAAGATGATTGTGGCTTGTATTTATTTAGCATTTAACTTTTTTACTGAGTGTACTAAAAGTATATACTGCACCTTGCTTTCATGTTTGTTTTAGACTGGAAGTTAAACCAGATTAGATAGTAAATTCTCTAAAAGAACTGCCTCATTTTCAGTGGTGTAAAATATATATTTTCTGTCAGGCCTATGATGAAACTGAGTCGATGATATTATCATTTTATATTTAAATAATGAGCCTGAAACTGATGTAATCACCAATCATTCACAGTTAGGGTTTCATAATCATTATCAAAATCATATCTTTTGGGATTTCAGATACCACTATCTGGATAATCTACATTGTGTTGAAACTCCAAAAACACGTCAATCAGAGAAATAAGATCATCATTGTGCTTTATTAATGAATAACTTGTTAAAGAGTCTTCACATAATGCAGATTCTTGTGATTCTTGTGTCACATCACATATAACCTATTCACTGTAGAACGTGCTTTGATATGTAGGCAACATAAACATATATATATATATATATATATATATATATATATATATATATATATATATATATATGTAGTCATTTAATGATTTACCCACAGTATTTTTGTAAAACATAATCTAATGTTTAATAATAATCTATGTTTCCTGTTTGGGAACTAAATGTATGGGACAAATGGAGGCTGTGATGTTTCTGCCTTCACTCCACCCTCTAGTGGACAGTAATATAAATTATCATGCTAAATTAACACACTGATAGTGTAAAAGGAAATTAATAATTAAAAATGTTATATGCATTTTTATAGCCTACTAACACAAAACATTCTGCAATGTCAACAGGAAAGACTGAAAAGAAAAACTAAACTAAACTAAACCAAATTATTTAAATGTAAGTTTTATTTGTAATAAACATTTGTGAGGAGGGAAAATAATCAGTTGGTCAATATGACCCAATAAAAAGTTACCGATGATAAGGCAACATAATTTAATATTATTTAAGGCAATTTATGGGTGATACCTTTTATAGAGATTTGACACAGACATCATCTTTCAGAGGGGCAAACAAGAATTAAACAGCTCTGTTCATGTGATTAATTACTACACCCATGTTAAAATGTTTACATGAAATTAAGAAAGTCTCCCCTTTAATTTATTGACAACTCTCTGTAAATACCTTTTAATAAGACCCTTCAAACTCAAACGTAAATGGAAATTGTTTGCTTTTACTGTGTATAAAGTGACCAGAATTTAAAGCAAGAAAAAAAATATATAAATACTATCTCATGAAATATAGCATACAGTATCACAAATTCTGTGGCATCAAGTGAGTTGGTGGACTCTGTGAGTATGGCAAGCCAAATTAGCATGTAGGACTATTTTTCTGTTTTTAATTTAGTAATTTAAAAAAAAAATTAAACAAATAACAGAAATATATAGGCTGCTATAAACTATTTGAATTACAGCTAACTAAAAATAAGTACAAATTGTAATTGGGAAAAGGCAAATATCTAAAACAGTCACATACAAATACCTAACAAGAAAAAGAGGAGAAAATATTTACTAGAATGTTTCATGCTTTATTGTGGTTACAGTTAGGCTACTGTGGTAAATTTTGTTTGGGAAAACATGTACAATTAATAATAAATAATCTTTAAAGGTAATAGATATTTCCCCATATAAAAAGGCCAATGTCATGTTATAAATGTGTTACTGATTTTCATAACAAATGCTAGAGCTAATGGTATAAAGTTAAAACCAAATCTATGCTCTTGTTTGTAAAACACATTAGCCACACTGTTGTATTAATAGATCTAGCCTACAAATGTAAATACGGCTTGCCGCACGGGGAGGGGAGAGAAAATAGGGTGGAGGCGAACGAGGGTGATAGATAAGTCCAGACAACACCCTAAACCGGTTTAAAGTATATTCCTAGTTATTGTATGTGTGTGAGAGAATGCCACGGGCTCCGCAGAATTTCCAAGGCCCAAAAGTGCGGAGCTGTACAGAGCCATGATTGCGTCTTTGTTTGTTTTGCACGTTTCCAAGCGATGATAACGCGGTTAGCGTTTGAGGAAGCAGCCCCTAGAGTTGGCTTGCACAGGTCTGGATGTATCTGATTGGAGTAGCAGTAGTCAGAGTGGGTGATCACAGGGAGGAGGGGAGAGACTCTGAAGTGGCTTTTCTGCGTGTGTGTGTGTGATTCTCCAGCGGCCATGTTAACCAAGAAACCCTGCGCTGCCGCTGCTGCTACTGCTGTCTACCCGACTGGTAAGGAACCCAATTCCCGGATCTAAGAGGGGGACGCCAAGCACGTTAATTCTCCGGATTGGATTTTGGAGATGGATTATTTATCCGATTTAAATGCTCCATAACGCGTGTAAGGCTCGCAGCGTTTTGTTTCATTGCTCGTGGTGACTGTAGGGTTGATAACGTTACAGTAGCTATAATCCCCGGAAACACCATTAAATAAAACCGCTGCTTTTGTAAATGCTGATTTAAATAAAATCTTTCCTGTTGCTATAGTGACTATATTAAGAAACCAAGCTCTCTGGATTAATGCCTCTTAGATTTATTGGGGGTTTTATAGCTCTTGTGTCTGTATAAAAGGTTTTCGTTGTGCTAATGTTGCTTTTCGTTTGTTAAAATGGTGTAAATAGTCTGGTTCTCTTTACATTTCTTAACTGATTAATACGTCTGATGAATCGATAGGCTACAGTTTCCTTTTCTGAACGAACTAGCCTTTCATGATCTCTTTTGCCTTTTAAAACTACTGACAGGATATCAATCGTGTAAACATTTTTTTCAAAATACATGTTTGCTCATTTTCACAGGCAAAGGGGTTGAGATTTGCCAGCTACAGTCTTCCCCCGGACTGGGCATCGGGGGTCCCCGGGCTGTAGCAGGGACTGAAGCCACATCACCCGTCACACTACCACCACTCAGGAACAGCAACTCTCTAACGGTAAAATTAACCTTCTTGCATGCACTTTCCACAATGCACGTCTCCTGAGTCCTTCTTTGTTCTCATAGTCTGAGTTTTGCTACAATGTTAGCACATATTTTGGCTAGTGCATTGTTTGAGGAACCAAGGGTTTTCCAACTTAATGGCAAAGACCACATGATGATAATTCCCTCCCTAATATAGGCTGCTATTTATCTTTAAGTAGAAATACCGTCTGACATGACATAATATTTTCAAAGTTAAGAAAATAGTTGGTGTTTATATTGTAAAATGTACTAAACCCTATGCTAATTAAAATATTTACTTTTTATTTGTTTACAGTGTGTATTTTCCTACACTTTTAGATTCATATTAGAGGTAAATGTACCTGAAGAAACCAGTTTCAGTCTAATTTTAATTGATTTAGTGCTTTTCACAATAAATGTTCACTACAGTTGTACAAAGAATAGTTCCTTAGATAAGGGTTACAGTTAACACAGTAGCTTTGACAGCCCTAAAAAAATAAATGTATTAAAATATTTTTTTCTCTCTTTCTCTTTTAAAATTTTCAACGGACCCCCCTAGAGTGTTCTCTTGAGGCCTTCTGAGGGCTTCCCAAACCCCAGTTTGAAAAACACTTTTTTTAGCCTATACCATGTGTTATTAAGGGCCTTGATGTAAGAATGCAAACCTGTTACTGGATTTTAACTTGGTAGTTTTGATGCACATCTTTGCTTGCACAGTAAATGACTTTGTGAATGCAGCTAGTGGAGTACAAAATAATCAGATTGTATGTTAATTTTGACTTAAAAAGCTTATTACATTAAACTTAAAAAGTTATTACATTAGCAATGCATGACAAAAAGGGTCTTCTCCGAGTCTTATATGGATACAATGAATTACAATGGAATGATTAGACAGTGCACTGTATTTGGAAGGTATGAATTTTTAAGAGACGGTAGCAAGAATAATCTGACAGTAGTTTAAAGATGTTGGAAACCAAAATGCATGTTTTGATAAATTAATTTTATATTAATTTTGAAGAAAGCCATGGAATATAAGTTTAAACAGTGAACAAATAATCAGATATGAGCAGTAGTCATTTTCAGTGCATGGCTCTCTTAGAGTCATTGGTTGATGTATTGTGTGGAGATGTTGCCATTGGTGGGGGATGGGAAATTCTTAGGCCATCAGTGTGACGCCAACAGGAACAGCTGAAATCTGTCATCTAGTGAATTTCCTTATGTAAAGTTATACATCCAAAATCTTAATCCATTGAGCCTTCACGGCATGATGTAGGACTAAAAAAACGTGATATTTTAGCGAAAAAATTAGTCAATTTGCTAAAACACATGCAATCCATGACAATGAAATGCTGCTCAATAATTAGTTTATTAGTAATGTTTAAAGAATTGCAGTTTATGTAAATGTATTTGACACATCACCAAATTTAATAAAATAATTGGATCAATGCTATTTATGACTAAGTAGCTGTGAGTTCTTTTAGCTGTCATTCTATTAGGGGTAAATATAGACACGGACTCGCATGGTAGGCACATTTCTGTCTGTGCATAGTCTTACAAAACAGAATTCCTGCCACATGTAATGAATTCAATTACATCTCAGCATTGTATTCGTAAATCTAGCTCGTCAATCAACATGTATTTTGAGACATTTAATTGCTAATCTAAGATGGAAATTTATGAATGTCAATATGTCTTATTTCAATGAATAAAAAATAATAAAATAAGATAAAATAAAATATGAAAAATATGATTGATTGAGAACTTTTTCAAGTTTTTGCAGATCTAATTATAATTATAACATAACAAGCTTATTGGGAATTTTAACTTCCATCTTGCTCTCGCTTATTACTTAGGCTACATGGTGATTAGGTGTCTTGATGAGCTATGATTTGATGATGCTTAAGTTAACAGTAATAACAGTAATGATCTCGAATGGCAGTGCATTGGGCTCATTCCTACTTGGTTTATATAACAGATTACATTAACAAATTAGAGCTGATTGTGTATACATATACATAAAAGATTTTAAAAATAATTTCTGATGTGCTTTTCAAATTCACAGTCCAGTTAGGTATGTTATTAGTAGGACCTTTAGGGACACGCTCTGTGTTGATTTTGGCTTTGAAGCTATTTAGAAGGTTACTTCCATTTGTAAGACGAAAGTTTTAAATCGGCCAGCCACTCATGTAAGAAGACATTCTAGTCTTCAAGTTTTATAGTATTACAAGGACAGCAATACTTATTCTGTCTTTATTTTTCTGTATGTTAAAATATCTGTCCAGTTAGATTTGAGTTACATACTGTAATAGATTTGAGTTACATACTGTAATTAAGATTTTAAGCACTCCTCTCAAGCCGTATGTATTTTGCAGAGTACTGAGCATTAGAATGATTGCCATGCTCACTACATTTCCTAGACCAAATGTGTCTTTTGTTCGGCTCCAGTTGTGTCCTCTACAGCTGCCAGCAAGCATGTATTTTCTACAACCCCCCACCTGTTCAGATCCTGTTTGAATTACCCAGCAGGGTGACCAAGTACAACAAAAGGTTGTAATTGAAGCTTTATTCAGATTTATTTTTAGTTTCAAAGGCTCATTTTAAATCTCATTAATCTCTTGTGTATAATGTATGAGCTCAATATTCAGTCAGTGTGATACATTTTTCCTGCAGAAACGATATACTCTTTATGATGGCTGGTAAATTATCAAGAATATCCTGCCTTATAATGTCCTTTCAGATTAGATATTGGTTGCATTTATATGTATATTTGAATGATAGTTTTATAAACTAAAGGCATGTCAATAAACAGGACATCATTGTCACTGTTATAGTTTTGCATTAGACATGACCAAAGCAAAACATATTCCTTAATTTTGAGTGATTTTAGAGCAGATTGCATCAGATCCTTTGGATTTAGAGTTCAAGCTGGGTATTTATTTGTATCTTCAGTCAGTGGTGTAAACATCAGTACTTGCCATCTGGGTATTGGAGATAGGTTGAGATAAAAAGGATCTGTAAATATCAGAAGTCTTGCAATGCCCTAATATGCTTTTACACTTGGAGATTATCACTCTCTCTACATGTGAATTAGACAATAAAGCACAGTTTAGTGGATCATGAATATTATAATTAAAACACAAAAATAAATGCTAATCCGTTAAAATTACCTGGCTGAAATTATAGGACAACAGTCGTGTCAAGGGGAGTCATGTTCAAATGTTTAAGAGTTTATGCTTTGTATAAAATGAGAAGGTTGCTGCAAACATCTTACTGAAGCAACAGGATGTCCTTGTAAAAACAAGATTCAGAGGTAATCACATTATCAAGGAAGTAAGCATCTTGCAGGGTAGGAGATTCAGGAAAGCAGGAAATTCATGTTTAATGACCTTAAATAAACAACAACAAAAACATTTCAAGTCTCCCATAGCTGAATTCCACATGCAAAAAACGAGATATTGTCTAGGGTCAAAAAGCATTTAAATGGAAAGATCGATAAATTGCACTACACGCACTGGACACAAAATCTCTTAGATCAGTTATTTAACATACTGGAGTAAATTATACAAACCAAAAGGACCCGTCATGTGTCGGAAGTCAACGCATAAGAAGGGATACACATAAGTGCCCATTCTGTTGTTATTCTGCAATTTTATTTCAATCAAGCTGTTCTTTTCCCTCTATGGATTATGTCCTGATCTCTGGTCTTTACTATAGGAAGCTTAATTTCTATTGATCCACCAACAATAGACAATGAGGATTTTGTTGTACTTTGGATTGTACTTTGTCTAAACTTTGCTAAGCACAAGAATCAAGTTAAGTAATAATGCATGCAAATAAACATGGAATGAATTTTTGCAAGCCTGTTGTAGAGAATCATGGAAAAACTTCAACCAGGTTTGACAGGGTTGGAATGGATTGGATATTCAAGCCATTATATGGCTGGCTCTTTTATGTCAAATCTAAATGTGTGTATGTATTATCAGTCGTGTGTCCTTAATTTATTTAGGGAACAATCCTGAAATGATGCCTCTTGATTTTATTTTACCTTATCCAGGCTGGAGGCAATAAGCACACAATGAATGACCATCTGCACGTTGGGAATCACCAGCAGATCCACGTCCAACAGCTGTTTGAGGAGAACAGCAACAAACGGACAGTGTTGACCGCACAACCCAACGGGTTGACACCCGTAGGTAGAGCAGGTCTGACCATGCCGGAGAAGCAGCAAGAAAGCAGCCAGTGTCGACAAGGCAGCTCAACTTCCATCAAATCAACTGAAAGCAAACCTAAGCCAGCGCCTTTGACTCCTGAGCAGGCCATGAAACAGTACATGTCAAAGCTTTCAGTGTTTGAACACCAAGAAATCTTCACCTACCCTGAGGTCTATTTTATAGGTCCAAATGCAAAGAAAAGACAAGGTGTTGTTGGAGGGTCTAACAATGGAGGTTATGACGACGATCAGGGCTCCTACATTCATGTGCCCCATGACCATATATCATATAGGTATGAGGTACTAAAGGTTATTGGTAAAGGCAGTTTTGGGCAGGTGGTGAAGGCCTATGACCACAAGAACCACCAGCAGGTGGCCCTGAAAATGGTCCGTAATGAAAAGCGATTCCATCGCCAAGCCGCTGAGGAAATTCGCATTCTGGAACATTTGCGCAAGCAGGATAAGGACTCCACCATGAATGTCATCCACATGCTGGAGAACTTTACATTCCGCAACCATATCTGCATGACGTTTGAGTTGCTCAGCATGAACCTCTATGAGCTCATCAAGAAAAACAAGTTTCAGGGCTTTAGTTTGCCACTAGTGCGCAAGTTTGCACACTCCATCTTACAGTGTCTGGACTCACTGCACAAGAACAGAATTATTCACTGCGACCTCAAACCTGAGAATATACTTCTGAAGCAGCAGGGGCGCAGTGGGATAAAAGTGATCGACTTTGGCTCTAGCTGTTATGAGCATCAACGGGTCTACACTTACATCCAGTCACGCTTCTACAGGGCCCCAGAGGTCATTCTGGGTGCTCGATATGGGATGCCAATTGATATGTGGAGCTTAGGTTGTATCTTAGCGGAATTACTTTCAGGGTACCCTCTCTTGCCTGGAGAAGATGAAGGGGACCAACTAGCATGTGTCATAGAGCTGTTGGGTATGCCCTCCCAGAAGCTACTGGATTCATCCAAGAGAGCAAAAAATTTTATCAGTTCGAAGGGATATCCCCGTTATTGCACAGTCACAACCTTACCTGATGGTTCAGTGGGGCTGAATGGGGGAAGGTCACGTAGGGGCAAACTCAGAGGTCCACCAGGCAGCAGAGACTGGGTGACAGCACTTAAAGGCTGTGATGACCCCCTCTTCTTGGACTTTCTAAAACAGTGTCTAGAGTGGGACCCGTCCCTGCGTATGACCCCTAGTCAGGCCCTCCGCCACCCATGGCTCAGAAGACGCTTGCCAAAACCTCCCACTGGGGAGAAAACCACCATAAAGCGGATCACTGAGGGTACTGGTGCTATAACCTCAATCTCCAAATTACCTCCCCCTTCTGGCTCAGCCACAAAGTTAAGGACTAACATGGCACAAATGACTGATGCCAATGGGAATATACAACAAAGGACAGTGTTGCCAAAATTAGTCAGCTGAACACTAATTCTTTTTTCTTTTAAATGATGATATTGGAAATTGTTGTTGATATTGCAAAGCTGAGCATTCAGATGTGTGGGTTTTTTAGGAATGAGAGTCATTAATGCATATACACCATTAATGAACTGCTTTGTAGCACCTTTAGTTGGATTGTATTCTAGAAAAGCTCAAATGGCCAAGAAAGGGGAACAACACTTTAAGGTTTTTATGTCTGGACTTTGCTGAATGCTGCTTTGAAGGAGCAGTCATGTTCTACAATCTGGTCTTTAATAACAAAAAGTCCCACTTTGGTTTAATACCTACATATTGTAGCATAAAAAAGAAAATTGAATCACCACCCTCAGATCCTGTCAGATAAATAGTGTGTTAAAGGTTAAAATGTATTTACTAAAAGCTATTTGATCTGAGACCTGTTGCATTGCAGCCTAATGTGGTCAATATCAAGACAAGATCATTTTTTAAACCCTCTAAGAGACTATGTAAGAGAAACGGGTAAAATGGAGAGTGGATGTTGCAGACTGTAATGAGGTAGCAAAGGGAATCAATGTTTACATGATAGACTTGGTATGTGCCTATAAATCTCTTGACATTCCTTAAAGACATTAAATGAGGAAAAAAAGAGAGTGTTTAGATTGATGGCAAGTTTAAAGGAAATTATGCGGCTAAATGGAGATGATACTCAGCAGTACTTGACACTCTTGTAATTATAAGCTATTCGCTGGAAGAGTTGCTTTTGACTGTGTACTGTCCTGGAAGGAAAAAAAACTTTGGTGCTTTACCTTTTTTATTTATGTTTTTTATATCTTGAAACGTAATGCTTCTGAAACAAAACAGTGTTGTGTAATCAATAGGTTATAGGTAATAGGTAAGCAGAACATTGCATTTACTTCAATGCAAGCAAGTAATCATGCATGATGCATATTTTAGATGGACAAGGTTATGGCAGAGTATGTCACGATTCAACAAGTCTCTTAACAAATCTATAACCACAAAGACAATACAGATGGCAACATTGGCCTCATATGAGCAAGTCCACACAATGAATATGTAAAAATATAAGGGTATGCAGAGTTAAAATTCTTAAAGGTTGTTCCCTTTTTTAAAATTATGTTACAAATAAGTTATTAATAACACTTTTCCCCCAAATCCAAAACAGTTGGATTTGAAAAGGAATATTTCTCTTTAGAACACAAAGACTGGCCATTTTTGTAGCATTTTTGACATGGAAAGAATAATTTGACTGACATGGGTGTAAAAGCTTAGTAAGTTTAACTTATTTATTTCATTTTATTGTGTCAATGAAGAGCTAATATAGGAGGAACCAGTGGAGGTGGCTTGTATATCAATGGATTGATTTACGGTGCAATGCACAAAAATATATATCTGCCACTACTTTGAAATCCTACTCTAGCAGGGGGTAGTCCTGCTTATTTTCACCCAGTCATGGATTGGGGGTGTGGAAGGAGGTCAAACTATGGGCTGTCAGGGAGACCAGCAAAGCTGTAATGCTCATGTTGACCCACTCCCCCTCCCCCACTAGAGGCTGGCACAGTGCCCACCAGGCCTAATGCACACTGCACAGGGCCTAAGGCCCTTTTGGACACCCATAGTGCTTTACAAATGCAGACATTACCTGCCAACATCAGCAGGCATTTCACAATGTACTTTACACTGTTTTTATTGTTCTGTGAATTGACAGCAGTGTGGAATAATTGTGCCCTTAGGTTTAATACAATGTGCCTTTGGTTATCAATGCCATTCATTTTATTTTAAACAACAGTTCTCCCTATCATTTACTTTGAAAGACTCATGGTGATTCTCTTGCACATGTTTGAGCATTGCCCAAAGATTGGCTACTTCCCAAACCTTGTTAAATGGGACTTGGGGACAACTGGCCGCACAGTAGAGGTTGTACATGTTCCGACACTCAATCTCGTTTTCTACTATGATTTGAGAGGAGTAAACAAATAACTTTAGGGCCCTTTTCCACCTGGGATGTCTTAGTAAGAGAGTGTCTTCACCACTGCATTCAAGTTATCTTAACATCACAAGTATTCACGGTGATACATTTCGTTGATTTTATTTCAATACAAATGAGAACACATTTTAATATTTTACCTCAGACTGTTGTGATATTCTTGTACTTTACAAATCAAGGGCATTTGGTACATACCAAAGTGCATTCCTTTCTGTGTTGGTGGCTATGTGGGAAAAGAAGCCAGATTTTCTCTTTACCTGATCAAGAGGCCATTCAAGCCACTCAAGAGTATCTCTTGAGAATGTTAATCTTCTGTGGAGAGGGATGGATGCTTGAGCTCTATTAGACAGTCACATCGCCTGTTAAAATGTCTGACAGATGTAGCATACCTCCTCTTGTTACTTGACATGGCTGGATGTATCTTTTGGGCAGTAAAAACTGCAACCCCATGAAATCCAAATCCATGAGTAAGTTGTCATCCTAGTGTGCAATACAGTGGTAGCATTGTTGGGGAAAATCAAACCACAAGTCTGAAAGTTACATTTTAAAAGGATATGCTTTTTATAGTTTTTAAATGTATGCCCTAACTCTTGAATCAGGCTACCCACTGTCAGCTTGGTTTTTTTAAAAACAAATCTTTAACAGAGGAACAAAGTTGGCAATGTTTATATTCAGCCACAGAAATGTACTGTACATATGTGAATTTGTTGAATTCGATGTGGATGTGTACATATGTATAATGTTTTCATTTTGTGAAATGCTGCTGAAAACACTACATATATTGCTGTAGTGGGGGTTTAATGTTGGCGGCCAGTTTAATGATACTGTATGTATTGTACAGCTGATGGAAGAAGTTTTTTCTAGTGATCATTTGTTAAATTTTATTGTGTGGCTGGAATATATTAATAATAAAAGTTTTAATGTCAATCTTTAAAAAATGCGGTTTGTGGTGACATCTTTAAGCAACATGAAGAAACTAAAAGCTAAGCTAAGAATGGTTTTGGCCATTCATTTACACAACAATGGTGTTTTGATGGCCTAAAAAAAGGAAAGTTTATTTATTTTTTTTAAATGGGAACTTTTTTGTCTTCATGTAAACTACAAAAATGCAAATTTCTGAAAGCTGTGACGTCATCCACATGCATATTACGTTTTTAGTCTATAGGTGCATAGTTTTTCTTTATAAAGTGACATTGTCAAGATGGAGTCAGGTAGTCCAATTAAGTCACCTGTTTTGCCATAGAAAAAGATTCACAAATATTGCCAATTTAGCGACTTTTCAGACCGCTTTAAAGACTAGCAACAAATCTAGAGACTAGTCAGTCATTCATTATAGTAGTCAGTCATTATATAATACTCTTTCTGTTGTCTGACAGAAAATATTTAAATGAGAACAGCTTTATTGGATATATGGCTATGTATTGATATATATATATATATATATATATATATAAAAAGTATGTGAGTACAGATTAGGAGAGAAACGTACAGATTAGGAAAGTTCTGACAATTGGCTCATATCTAGCGACATTTAGATAATAAAGCAGGCTATTGAAAATAGTTGGCAAGACTGCACATAATTTTGGCTTGTCAAAAGAATATCTGTTTAAAGGGCTGTAATTTCTAGGCAGCCAGTAGTTCACACTCAAAAACATAGCTTACAAATTAAGGGAATTTTGCAATGTCACTGTTCCTCTTATAACCTCAGATTGACAGTTGATCTCCAGGCAACTGTTGAGTTTTAAAGTTCAATATAATAATATTCGTACATGTTTGATTAATATTAGCAGTGGTTAATAAGACTGGGGGAGAAGAACTTCTGCGCATGTCAGCATTATTGATAAATCTACAGTAATACAGAAATATCCCAGGACTATGTTGTGAGCTTTTGCCATCTTTATCATGTTGTATTAATGCTGAATGCTGTGTGCACGACTCCTTCAGGGGCAGAGAGAGATGTTGTCCATGAAACAACCATGCAAACACTTCATGTGTGTGCTATTAATAAACGGTTCAAATATTGAGGGACTATAAAGTTGTTTTACTACAAAGTTGTTTTACTGGTAAGGGAACACAAAATCACTAATGAGCAGCTGCATGTTGTCCATTTTAGAGATTTGGACAATGTGTGCATGGGTGCATTTATTATTTAAAGGAAGTTCAGGAACTCTCATTTATAAGTGGTAAGACCACCTATTGACTATGCGTTTCTGCTAATGTTCAATTCTGAAGCAATAAACAAAACTGATGCCAGCAATATTCTAGATAGTGCAAATGAATACTCCATTGTAAATGGAGAGAACTGAAAGGTGCTTCTTTATCCTATTGCATGTTCACATTACCTATAGTCACATTACCTATAGTCCCAATATGTTTAATGTGCTTTGATGGAAATTCCTTTATCTTTTGGTTAATACCAGCAACCAGTCATCTGCATTGTGGTAGTTTTCTGAAGCAGAGAAATTCTGTCTTCACCCACTAACTTTAATAAAGGCGTTTCTATGAAGGAAGTCTAGGCATCTCTAAATGTGTTGTCTGTAGTGCTAATGAATTCAGTGTTGATTCTCTAAAAAAAATTCTCGGAAAGCACTGAGAATTTTTTGTGTGCTGGATCTTTTTTATAAGACTTTAGCAGGAGGTTGTGTCTTTGCCAATTATAGTTTAAAGGGAAAACTATTAATAGACTTTCCAAATTCTTTACATTGCTGATAGATTGGGCTGTTAGTGCATTGATCAATTTCAACCACAGGATTCCTTTTCTTCTTCTACGTCATAATAACAACCATGCATATTTTTGAGTATGTGCATGATCTCAGGAATTTAAAATAGCTTTGCCCTAACTTCTAAGCCAATCATCTACAGCTTTAAAGACCATATCATTCATCGAATAGCCTTTCAGTTTTTTAAGGTTAATATTACTTTGCCTTACTGCCAACAATCATAGTTTGAATTAGAAAAATTATAATCATTATTGAGTACATAAAACACCCAAATTAAGGGTTTAGGTTCAAGTTGTTGCTGAGTAGAACTCTTATGGTGCTTTAAAGACTCAAAAAGTTCTTAATGTTGCATTATAGGTGCTTCAGATCATTGTTTTTCTGTGTATTACTGTTTCCTTGATTTGATAACTCTTCTCTGTATGGCCATATAGGAACAGATTTTTCTTTCATGCTGTCCAGGAATGGGTTAAAGCTGGCAACCTTGCTTTCAGAATATAAGCACAGCTGAATTGAAGAAAAAAAAAAACATGACTGAACAAAAGCAAACCTTCTAGTTTATTTCAAGCCAGCTATACGACTCATGAAATAAAACAGTGTCAAATACATCAGCATAGCTCAGAGACAGGGGGCAGAAGGGATTTTCTGTCTCCATGCAGTTTTCTGTTGTTTTGGCTTATTGGCCTTTCTTTCGTTTTTGCTGGGCAAGCGAGTGTGGGAAGAATGCCCATGTGATAGGCCTCTGTAAACAAACAGAGCTGGTGATGTCATATCACTGGAATGCAGAGGAATGCATTTGACAGACTGAGGGTACCGGGGGTATTTCCCCAGAGAGAAGGAAAATGATCCATCACTGTTGCCTCCTCCATTTAATCATATCCCATTCAATTTCTTAAAAGTAAATAAGGTTTCCTTGTTTACTTGAAGAAACATTTTTGGATGTACGCAAGTCGACTTACGCCAAAAGAGTAACACTAGACGATGTATGATGTAGGGTTGTGCACGAATATTTGAATTTTCGAATGTGTGGAGCGTGTTTAACAAGTTGCTTGTATTTGATCACATAATGTTGTCTGCCTCGCGAAGTTTGGAATTAGGCTACTCAGATGAAAATTATCTTACTAAATGATCTTACAAAATGGAATTATTTTTGATCAAATTAATTAATGAGTCCGAGTTATCATAATATCACCACCATGAGAAATCACATGAAATCCAAACACCAGTCCACTGAGGAAAGACAGCTGCCCATCACTGTATCAAGACTGCAGGTAAAGCGCAGCTATTACCCCGAGTGATCCGAGATGACAACTTATCTTATAGCTTAACAATTTTGACATTAACGCATAAGTAACTATTATGCTGTTCATGCTGCCAGCCAAATGTTTCTTTGCCCTATTCATACTTTGCACATGACATCACAAGTACTGGCTGGCGGGCAAGAACGCCGCTCTCCAGCAACGAAACTCGGTAAACTAGTCAAGGATCTTGCCAGGACGTCGCCAGTTTTTATAAAAAAGTTGGTGTTTCGAGATGTATATGACACGACAGATAGTTGTTGTGCGATTGGTTACACTAACCAGATGAGATAAGCAACCTTCACAGTATAACATTACACGTCTGTGCAGTGATCATTCCATCACTCAAGGTAATTTCAACATTAGTTTGAATACAATGGGTATATGATCATGTAATTAATCGTGTCTTTAAATGAACCTGTAGTTTCGTCAATCAACGCCACCAGCTGGTTCGGCGAGTCAGCTGTTTGTGTTATGAGGCTAATTGTACGTTCACACCGCCGTCGCGAGAGCGGCAAAATTAATTGAAAAATGAATGACTTCTGGGCACTTTCACGCTCTCGTCAGTGGCGGTGTAAACGCAGCTGTCGTATTTTGCTAAAAAAAACTAAAGTGTGTGATAAGTTGTTTTGAGGTTTGTGATATAGTTTTTAATGAGAACAGTAGAGCTAGATTATTTATGGAGGAATTATTACTGCTCGATTATCTAAAAAAAAACCTTTACACAATTTAACTACCTTCACCTTGAAGTTAATCCCAGTCCATAGTTGTGCAGCTAGCTCGCAAACAGACTTGATAGCTACTAGAAAGACCTGGAACTACAGGACTCTACGTTTAAAATACTTGTTTGTTGCCAGGCATTCATAGTAGTCAAGTGACTGCAAAGTATGAATTGGGCCACAAGGAGCATGTTTTCTAAGAAGCGGAGTAAATGAGGCTTCTGTGGGAGGGTCTCACAGAACTTTGAGCTGGAGGGAGAGCAGCTCCTGTCCTTTGACATTGAAGCCCATCTGCAGGAATATGAACACCCTTAGAAGCCTCTAGTCAGACAGCACTTGACACCACCCTTGGTTCTCACATCAACTGGATGATATGACAATGATCAACAAGACATATGTTGTTGTCAAGTCATGTCTACAAGCCAAACATTGCTAGGAGGAAAAGGATTCTCTGCCACAAACCTCTAGAGTGCCATTCAAAACACCACCATCGTACTGCACCTTCTTATGTGTTTTCATGCACCACACCACACAGTGCTTTTCTTGCACCAAGAACTAAGATATGGACACACAAAGCTGCCATAAAAGAAGTTATATTATATATTATCATCGATCCAGGTCTTCCATACCACATTGGTTTAATGTCTGCAAGCCCTATTTCTGTTTTGAGTTTTACTTTCTCTTATGTGTTGTTGTTGTTAATCTGCTGAACTGTCCTGTTTAATTTCTGGCACTGCATCAGTAAATGCAGCTACTCTTCCTCAGCAATGACATTTAGTGGAAAAAGGCCGTTTTTCTTTTCCTCTGTATTTATGTAAAAGTTAAATAGTAAGCTCTGTTTTCCCCAATCTACAAATACCTGAATTGGCTGTATTTTAAAATGAGTTATACATTATAATCCTTGAAACTAAACAATTAAATATGCCTTGCATTTATACATTCTATACTTAAATAATACATTAAATTAATTATACATTTTAATATTTTTTTGCAGCACTGATACAATGCTTTTATAGTTCACAACCATATAGTTCACAAGGCATATCCTTGGCTTTCCCTGGACTTTACACTTGGTGGTCAAGCATGTTTTGGTTTAATGTATTAATGATTTTTTTAGAAATACAGCATTGCAATTTGATTCTGGGTGAATGATTAACAAATAATTGTTTGTGCCATGTTTAATACAACTGCCTGAAAAACCTTT